GCCCCCCAGGGGAGCCGCAGCGGCTCCGCGTGAGCTTCCTGCGGGCCGAGGGGTACCCGGTCGACCTGTACTACCTCATGGACCTGAGCTACTCCATGAAGGACGACCTGGAGCGCGTGCGCCAGCTCGGGCACGCCCTGCTGCTGCGGCTGCAGGAGGTCACGCACTCGGTGCGCATCGGTGAGCGCCGCGCCGCCCCGCGCCCCGCCGGCCCTCGGCCTCCCCCCTGCAGAAGCCCGGGGCCCTACCTGCCCTCTCCCAGTTTTTAACAGACCTGCCCAGGCCACACGTGTCGGCGTCTCTTCCCAAAGACGTTCATCTTCCAGGACGGCGCTGGAGGGGATTTAGGAGACTGTCCAGTAGGAGCACTCATTCTACAGGAGGGACATGACTGAGTCCCAGAGTCTGGCCAGACGGGGTTCAGACAGCTCCCAGGGGTCAGACAGTGCACCCTGGATCTACCAACCCAGATACTGCCCTGACGCCAGCGGCTCAGCCCTGTCTGGGTCTCTCGGACAAGGGCTAAAGGCCACTGTCCCTGGCTGCGCATTCTGCACTCGCATCTCCCTGGCTCAAGATGCCCTCCTTTGCCTCCCGCTACACCCTACACCCTCTCCTTCTTCCTCCGGAGACCCTGCCCGACCTCCACTGTGTCCTCCCCTTGATCCCCTCCTGCCCCCACTGCCCTGAGCCAGGGATCCAACCCCTTTGCCCCGGCCAGGTACTCGGTCCCTGCGCGCCAGGAGCACTGGCTCTCCTTATCTTCTCTACTCCTCTGTGACAGTCCCCTGACCGCGCCCCACTGCTTCCCATGGACCTCTGCCTTCTGAGTCCTCAGCAGCGGCCCTTCCACCCGGCTGCCGGCCAGTGACTTCTGGCACAGCCCTCATGATGCCCCCCTCCCAGGCTTTGGCTCCTTCGTGGACAAAACGGTGCTGCCCTTCGTGAGCACGGTGCCCTCCAAACTTCGCCACCCCTGCCCCACCCGGCTGGAGCGCTGCCAGCCCCCCTTCAGCTTTCACCATGTGCTGTCCCTGACCGGGGATGCGGAGGCCTTCGAGCGGGAGGTGGGGCGCCAGAGCGTGTCTGGCAACCTGGACTCCCCCGAAGGTGGCTTCGATGCCATTCTGCAGGCTGCACTCTGCCAGGTGAGGAGGCGGGGAGGGCTTCTGAGTCTGAGGCACTGTTTGGGGCCAAGACTGCCCCCTAGGGTCGTGCAGTGCCCAATTCTAGGGGTGCCCTTTGTACCATAGTTCCTGTAGTTTGCATATTCATTTTAAACAATTACCTGGTGGATTGGAGTCAAAAATGTTGAGGAAGAGGCATGGCTTTCTAATTCATAAGAAGGCCTCCGCTAGCAGCAACCCTGTTTGGGGGGATACTGGAGACAGGGGAATACTCAAACTGACTCAGAATGAGGCTGGCAAATCCGTGGCTCGTGGAGCCCGGGGGCACAGCCTACGTCCGACCCCCAACCCCAGGAGCGGATTGGCTGGAGAAATGTGTCCCGGCTGCTGGTGTTCACTTCAGATGACACATTCCACACGGCTGGGGATGGGAAGTTGGGTGGCATTTTCATGCCCAGCGACGGGCACTGCCACTTGGACAGCAATGGCCTCTATAGTCGCAGCCCAGAGTTTGTGAGTCCCCAGCCTTGCCCCACCCCTCCCTAGCTGAGCCCCCCCTTCCTCTACCTCCTTATCCTTACCAGTGACCGCCCTGCTCTCTTCCCCAGCAGCTCCTCTTCTCCATGTCCCCCCACTGCTCAGACGGAAACCTGTGTCACCCCACTCCGAGCCCCTCCCTCCTCCTTGCTGAGCCTCCGGGGTTCCTCTAGCTGGTAGAACCCCGGTTCCCGGATTTCCTGGGCGGAGGGCACCTTGGATAATGTGGGGGAGAGCGGCGGTGCTCACCTTGTCCCCGCTCCCCTGCCCAGGACTACCCCTCTGTGGGTCAGGTAGCCCAGGCCCTGTCTGCGGCAAACATCCAGCCCATCTTTGCTGTCACCAGTGCCACGCTGCCTGTCTACCAGGTGAGAACCGGCTGAATGCCAGACCTTCCCGCCACGAGCCCTTCTCAACTCCCTCAAAGACCCATTCTCTAACTTCCTGTACGCCCTCGCCCTCCTTCCAGACCCCCCAGAAGCCCACTTCCCTCTAACTGTGACCCACCATTTCTCTCGACTCCTCATAACCCAGGAGCTGAGTAAGCTGATTCCTAAGTCTGCAGTGGGGGAGTTGAGCGAGGATTCCAGCAACGTGGTGCAGCTCATCATGGACGCTTATAATGTGAGGGGCTGGGCCTGGGCAGCATGGCGAGGGCGGGCACCGGAAAGGGGCCTTCAGGGGAGGTGGCAGAACTAAGACAGACTGATCACTGTTTGGTGTAGCTCTCCACAGCTCCTACCTACAGTTTGCCTATGGCTGTCATTCATCGTTCACTCACCCAGTCTGACTTTTTTTTTTTTTTTAAGATTTTATTTATTTATTTGACAGAGACACAGTGAGAGAGGGAGCACAAGCAGGGGGAGTGGGAGTGGGAGAGATGCGGGGCTCAATCCCAGGACCCTGGGATCATGACCTGAGCTGAAGGCAGTCGCTTAACCATCTGAGCCACCCAGGCACCCCCAGTCGGACATTTGTAAATCTGGTGTCTGGCTTGTGCAGAGCACGGAGCCCTGCTCTGGGCAAGGAAGGAAAGGAACATTCATTGAGTTGGTATTTCGTGCCAAGCACTGTCCTAAGTGCACGTGCTGTTTGCCATCTCATTTACCCCACTAAACCCCTGTTTGCTAACGATTAGCATCCCCATTTTATAGATGGGGATACAGACACAGGAGGCTGAAAATAGATAATAGACAGAAGGGCTGGCATTCATGCCCCAGTCGATCCGTACATAAAGAAACATCTGGAGCCTACTTTCACTGAGCTTACAAATAATTCAGAGACATTCTTCACAGGAACCACAGAATTTTACAGGTAGAAGGAACCATAAAGATCCTTAAGTGTTTCTTGGGCTTAGCTCTGTAGCCATGCCGTAGACTTCTTATGACAGGGATCACATCCTAAAGCCACGGTGAGAAAAATCTGAGACAGTATCCAATTTCCCAGGGCAAATTCAATTGAAAGACTCTGCCCTTGAGCCCTTTACGCGCACAGGTTATATATCCTGATTTGGGGTTTGAGAAGCAGCCGCTGCACGTTGCAAGGGGCCCCACGGTGGGCCGAGGGCAGGGTTATGGCGGAATTTGAAATGGCTGGTGAGGGCACAAGGTGGGGTTGGAGTCCTGCCTTCACGTGGTTACTCACTGTCTCCCTTCCACAGAGCCTGTCATCCACGGTGACCCTCGAACACTCTCCACTCCCTCCGGGAGTCCACATCTCATATGAATCTCAGTGTGGGGATCCTGAGAAGAGGGAGAGTGAGGCTGGGGACCGGGGCCAGTGCAACCACGTCCGAACCAACCAGACGGTGAGAGCCAGCCGAGATAGGCAGAAGGAAGGAAGTGGGGGTGGGGGAGGGAAATTGAAGCAGGCAGGAAAAGATGGGGGGCAGACACAGAGAACAATGCAAAAGCATGGGGTAGTTCTCCATCCATCCTTTCTAAAAGGGTTTAATGAGTGTCTTCCTCCAGTGGGTGTCTAAGAGATGGGTGTTAGCATGATCCTATCCCTTAATTTCTTAAGGAATAGGTTCTGGAGGATCAATAGGTTTGGGGGGTGTGTGTGTGTGTGTGTGGACACAGGACCTTAAGTCTGATTTCTGCCCACATTGTCCTCAGGTGAATTTTTTTGGTGTGTGTGTGTGTGTGTGAGTGTGTGTGTGTGTGTGGACACAGGACCTTAAGTCTGATTTCTGCCCACATTGTCCACAGGTGAATTTTTTGGTTACTCTCCAAGCTACCCGCTGCTTCTCAGAGCCCCATCTTCTGAAGCTGCGAGCCCTTGGCTTCTCAGAAGAGCTGATTGTGGAGTTGCACACGCTGTGTGATTGTAACTGCGGGGACACCCAGCCCCAAGCTCCCCACTGCAGTGATGGCCAGGGGCTCCTACAATGCGGGGTATGCAGGTGAGGCCTCCAGCTTCCTTTCACCCATGTGGCTCCCCACACATGACTGAGCCCGATGTTCTTCTTCTCCCTTCTATCCTCCCACTGGCGTCTCTAGACATCTTTTTCCAGCCATCCCAAGACTCCACCCCGATTTTCATCTGAAGCTTCCCAGATATGCCAAGACCCTCCCCTCCACCAGAACCCCCTCCACTCTTCTTGGCGCTCAACCATACACCAGCATCCCTTCAGCCACTCATCTCTCTTCAACTCTTTTGAGAGCTTAGGTTTAGAGGATCCTGGGAAAGATAGGTCAAGGGATGGTCAAACCCTCTGACCCACCTTTCCGTTGCCTGGCTCTGCCTGACTCAGCCTCCACCTTCCCCTCCCAGCTGTGCCCCCGGCCGCCTGGGTCGACTCTGTGAATGCTCTGAGGCTGAGCTGTCCTCCCCGGATCTGGAATCTGGGTGCCGGGCCCCCAACGGGACGGGGCCCTTGTGCAGCGGGAAGGGACGGTGTCATTGTGGACGCTGCAGCTGCAGTGGACAGAGCTCCGGGCGTCTGTGCGAGTGTGACGACGCTAGCTGTGAGCGCCACGAGGGCGTCCTCTGTGGAGGTACCTGCAGACTTTGGGAGAAGGGTGGGGGCGCAGAGTGGCTCCCATGGGTATTTAGGCTCTGGGAACTTCATGGCCCTAAGGGCAGGTATCGAGGATTCTGGTGTAGGAGTTGCAGGTGCCTGGCCCACTTGGGAGGGAACTGGATGCACAGGAGCAGACCAGCTCTAGGCAGCCCGTGGTGGCACGTGATGCCGGTGTGTGAAGAGTATGGGTGTCAGCCCGTGCGTGGCTCTGCCCCAGGCTTTGGCCGCTGCCGATGTGGATTGTGTCACTGTTACGCCAACCACACGGGCAGAGCGTGCGAGTGCAGTGAGGACACGGACCGCTGTATCAGTCCCGACGGCAATCTCTGCAGTGGGCACGGACGCTGCAAGTGCAACCGCTGCCAGTGCTCGGACGGCCACTTCGGCGCCCTCTGTGAGCAGTGCCCAGGCTGCGAGACGTCCTGTGAGAGATACAGGTGAGGCCTCGGGCCCGGCAGCCTGGGAGCAGGGGCGCAGCGGGGCTTGCTGAGCCACTCCCGCCGGCCCGCTCCTTCCTGCCGGGTAGCGTGGGTGACAGCTGCCCAGCTGGTAACCTCTTGGTGTCCACCGGACAGGGACTGTGCGGAGTGTGGGGCCTTTGGGACTGGTCCCCTGGCCCTCAACTGCAGCAGGGCTTGTGCCTCTGCCAACGTGACTCTGACTTTGGCCCCTATCCTGGATGATGGCTGGTGCAAAGAGAGGACCCTGGACAACCAGCTGTTCTTCTTCCTGGTGGAGGAGGAAGCCGAAGACAAGGTCGTGCTGAGAGTGAGACCCCAAGAGAGTAAGTGGGCAGGGATGCCGTGGACATGCCGAAGGGAGCCCTGGAAGTTTGACGGGTAGGGCCTCAGAACTCTGGGGTTGGGGAGGTGGAGAGAATGGGAAGCCAGGCTAGGGGTTGAAGTAGAGCAGTGAGTCCAGGCAAAAGTGGAGGCGATGGGAGACTTAGAGGAGACTAAGGGGAGACTTAGAGGAGACTCGGCCACTGAGGATAACCTTGGCCACTGCCGGGTTCCCTTTGTTTTCAATGACAGGCAGGGACGGGGAGGCTGGACACACTGTGGGCAACTGTCCACCAACCCGCATGCCCCGCTGTGTTGTTTCTTGTCCATAGGAGTAGATCACACCCAGGCCATTGTGCTGGGCTGCATGGGGGGCATCGTGGCAGTGGGCCTGGGGATAGTCCTGGCTTACCGGCTTTCTGTGGAAATCTACGATCGCCGAGAATACAGGCGCTTTGAGAAGGAGCGGCAGCAGCTCAACTGGAAGCAGGTGGGGAGACTGCCTTGTACCCTACTGGGCTCTCCCTGGTTAGGACCTCTTTGCTCTCTGCTTCCCATACCACCCTCAGCCCTGACTCCTTCCACCTAGGCTATCCCCCTCACTTCTGTCTGTGCCTCCTCTGCCCCAACCCCCTGCTAACGTCCATCAGCTCTTGGGGTGCTGCTCAAGCTCGAGGTTGGCCTCAGGGTTAGATAAAGGAGGAGATCTGGGACTTTTCCTCATCGTTTCCAACCCCCCCCCCCAGGACAGCAATCCTCTCTACAGAAGTGCCATCACGACCACGGTCAACCCCCACTTTCAGGAGGGAAGGAGTCCCCTTCTCTGAAGCGGGGGGAGGAACACTCCTCCCAGGGCTCTTCTCTTTCTTCTCAGCAGCCTGGTAGGGGACTACTGAGGAATGGTCACCACCTACTTCATTCTGACACCCGAGGGCTGCCTACCCCCGCAGCCTCACTTCCCTACCTCACGAGTGGCGGTCAGCCCCTGCGCCCCCGTATACAATAAAGACTCTTACCTCAGAGCATAGCGGTCATCTTGCTTTACCCACGGCCAGAGCAGGCTGTGCAGCCTGGGCCTCAGTCCTCCCCCCAGCACCTGAGGGTGGGGAGGCTGGCTCTAACCCGACGTGCAGGACACTCAGGAAGCGGCCGCTGGGGGTGGGCTGCTCAATCCCCAGGCTCTGCTGATGCAGAAGGGCTGCAGAGCCACACGCTGGTACCCTAACCTCATTCTGTTCTGGTGTGCGTGTTTTGTTTTGTTTTTCTTATTCAGAAGTGATATCCTGTTTTTACTTCCACTTGTTGCTCTTCTGTGGAGGGGAGTTTTAAACGGTGGTTTCCAGGATGCTGGACGTTTGGGGTGGTTATATTTGGGGGGAAAACGGAAAACCACTTTGGCCCCAAAGCAGCAGCTTTCCCAAAAAAAGAGATAGTATGTAGAAAAGCCCCATTTTCTTTTTATTTAAATATCCTAAATATATCACGAAGGAACATACACTGCACTTTAATGGTAAAAAGATACAAGTTTATAACATCTTATAAAAACTACCATTTAAAAGTGATCTTGTTCATTTGATATTCCCCTCCCCCAATAGCAAAATAAGTATATTAAAAAAAAAAGAAAGAGAGAGAGAAAGGGAGGGAGAGGGCAGAGAGGAAGAGTTGGAAGGGATTAAGATAAAAGCCCCAGGACTGCAGCAGAGGCAAAGAGCGTCTGGGGAGAGGGTTAGAAGTTGTGGCGGGACCCCCCCACATCTCATTTAACCCTCCAATGTCAAGCCATAGGGCACAATCAGTAGCTATGTGATGAAAGAGGCTGTTGGGGGGGTGGACGGAGAAGAATTGGGGTGCAGGGAAGGGCAGGGCTGGTAGGGCCCCATACAAGGGCCCCCCCAGAACTGGTGCTCTTTCCCAGGTCCCCAAATTCCACGTCCTGGTCTCTGAGAGCCTGCCCTAGCTCCCTTTCCCTTCACTCCAAATGCACCTGAGGCATCTGTCCAGTGCTAGACCCCACCAGCTGAGGAGGGCTGGGGCGTTGGGCCCAGAAGCCTCTGCAGCGCTCTTTGTCTGTGGTTTCCCTAGGGTGTAAGTGGGGCTTCTGGGCCCTCTGGGAGGCTGAATCACTCCTTTCACCTCTTTGCTCCTCTCTCCTCACACATCCTTGGCCCCAGAACCTCAGCACCTGGACAACTGAACTAAGCACCTACCTGCTCCTGAGTTGCCTCCACACCCAATCCTTGGCAGGGGTGCTTCCGGTATGGCTCTTTCCACATCTGCTCACAAATTCCCTCTCCCTCCCACCCCGGCAGGAGGCTGAGGCTGTGGGGGGCCACGGCACACTGTGACCTAAGCACACATCCGCACACGTAGGGGCATAGGTCACTCAGGGGATTCTCGCCACACACACTCCGACCCTAAACAGATTAGCTGCAAGTGGCAGGGAATGAAGCCTCCTATTTTCAAAAGTGCTCGTGGGAGAGGTTTTCTAAATGTAGCTTCCTTCCAGGAATACATTCCCAGAAGTAAATGATAAATTCCAGCCCCAGCAGAGGTCTCTAACAGGCAAGGGGCTCACTCACACACGGGAAGATACCCGGCTTGTAGGGACCACAAGGGCAGCTTCAGGGACTGAGGTCTAGGCCCTGGACCATAGCAAATGCAGGTGCCAGCATAAAACTATAGGAGCACAGGCAGCAAACACTGCCCAGTGTCTCTGCCAAAGGACCTCAGGAGCCGTCAGAGCAAGTCTGAAGGGTGCCACACCTTTCTTTCCCCGAAATCCTCACATTTCAGAGGTACAGAGCCCCCCACCCCCCTCCCGCACACCTGACAGCCAGGAGCTTTCTGCTGCTGTTCCTACATCTAGGAAATGAAGTTACACTGCCTGGAGCTGCCATCTTAGATCCCCACTGACAGCGTGGTCAGGTTCACCAAGCCTCCATGATTATTCCATGACTACTCCCCTCTACAGGTCAGGGCAGGCTACAGTGGGGGCCAAACCCCAGAACCTTCCACAGCAGGCAGAGGGTTTCTTATTTCACTTTAGAAAATTCATGTTTACAAGCTTTGGCTTGAGTTAAACACCCTAACCAGCCTGCTGAATCAACCCCCAAAAAACCTCTCCAAAACAAAGCCCTTCACTCCCCTAAATCACGTTCCTCAGCTGGGACTTCAAGCACCCTCAGATTTGGTGGTGGTGGTGGTGGGGGCTGTTTCATGCTCATCCTCCCCTGAGTTGAGGGCCAGAGAAGGGTTTGGCTCAATAATGTGCCATCTCCAAGCATACAAACACAAGCACACATTTCAATGAACACACTCAAGCGCACGTGCGCGCGCGCACACACACACACACACACACCCCTGATCACTTTTTTGGGGGTGGATAGGGTGGTGGTGTTGGGGCAGAGAGGAGCAAAGAATATGATTAAGAATAAAACCTACAATAGGTTTCTTCCTCAGTCCTTTCTCTGCAGCACCCCCTCCCCCCAATTCTTTGTTGGGTAGGGATGGCCATTAAGAAGGAAGCGAAGATCTTATTCTTTGGGACCAAAGGCCACACCCCTATCTCCTACCTGAATACAGTGATAGGACTTGGGCAGGGAGAGCAGCTCACACTGCTCAACAGTCATGTCAGGGGACACCAAACTCCTTTGTTTCTTGAACAGTTGTTGCTCAACTTGGGACTAGTCTCGGGTTGTTCCTAAGAGGGCACAAGGAGAGAGAACCCCCTTTGGTATCCATGACTACCTGCTCAAAACCTCTGTCTGGCTCAGGAGTCAACGGCAGCGAGGTAGCCACACGCTATCTCCAAGATGGAGTGCCCAAAGAGGGCATGGAAGGGCTCCGTGGGCCGCTCTCACCCAAGTTCCCTCCACAAGGCACTTGAGCTGACCCCATCAGGTACCAGGGTGGCCTGGGCCGTTGCAACAGCCGTGGGCACAGCTCTCGCTCTTCCCTGGAGGAAGGAAGAGGTACCTGCCCACTCTAGTTGTACCCAGCCCTTGTCTGCTCCTCCCGCCATTCTTCCTTCTGTCCCTACAGTGTATAAGGAGACCAAGGTAAACTCAGCTGCCATCCCTGATCCTCCTCTCCTTCAAACAGAAGGTGAGGTGCAGGGCTGTGGAACACTGAGGATCAACTGCAACTAAAAACTCAATTCTGGGGAGGGCTGGGCCAGCCATTGTCCCTGCTTTAACCAGGGCTCTATGCCTCCATATTACCTGTATCCACAGTGTAGCTGCTAAAATTGCTTTTGAATAAACAAAAACAAGAACAGAACAAACAAACAAATCCCTCTCCCCAATCCTTTCCATTTCAGCTGCCAGCTGGAGTCCAAGGTTGTGGGAGCCACACCAGTCTTGGTCCTGTACCTTCAGTCCCCACCTATAACCTCAGCCAAGGGTCCAGGGACTAGCTTCCCTACCCAGGAATGCTGTAGGAACTTCCCCGAGATACTCATAGTCTCAGATTATTTACAGAGCTGAGGCTCTGAGGCCGCTGTCCCCTGATGCACTCTTCTGGTCTCCTGGGTCCACTCCTCCAGGAGGGGGACAGGTACAGACGGGGTGGTGGTGGGACCATCAGACCAGAGGGGGTGCGCTCTTCGGTAAATTCTTCTGATCACTCCCACCACCCAGGGCCCCTTGCGCCTATAGAGAAAACTGCCCGTCGGAAGTCTTGGACTGGCACCCTTGGCACATCCGTTTGTGTCTGAGTAATCGATCTGTCCGAGAGAAACACTGAGAAGAAAGGAAGGATTAAGTGTTGAGAGGAGAACCTCAGCTACCTGTTGGCTAGCTCTGCCTTCCCCACACGGGAGGCACACATCCCGTTCCACATGCCCTCAGCAAGTGCACAGATGGCAGGAGCACACAGTGGTTAAGAGCGCAGGCTCCGGGGCGCCTGGGTGGCTCAGTTGTTAGGCGTCTGCCTTCGGCTCAGGTCATGATCCCAGGGTCCTGGGATCGAGCCCCGCATCGGGCTCCCTGCT